TTTTTGTTAAGAACTCTTTAACCCCGAAGCCGGGAATTGGTGGTGCGGTTACTATTACGTATGCGGTTTATATTAGGACTTTAATGGTAGATTTGAACAAATTACAAATTCAAAAATTGGAATTAAAATAATTGGAATTTAAATAAAAAAACAATTCAAAACATTTTCAAAATACAAATGCTGCAGACTGAACACTGATACAATCTCACCAATAAAGCCATTAATCAATCAGAATTACTGATGGTACTACTACTTCTCGAATGGTAGTGATTGTTACATTGCGGAAGTAAACCGATATCGTAAGACGATTTGTTGGCATGGATTTCAGTTGAAAACAGCATGATGGTTTTCAAAAGAGGTGATGCAAGCTGTAACACTTGCCCGTGATGCTTATTGTTTTGTTTACAAGTGTCAGTCTCATCTTAAAAACAATAACATACATTGAGCGAAAGGTAATCCGCTTTTCTTAGCAATACAAAGACTGACAGTGGTAAGAACGGAAGTGTGCAAGTCTTTCAGTAGAGCGCTGTCTCTAAATTGGAAAACAATTATTACAATGGTAATAATTTGCTAACTGATTTGCAAAGCACTTATTTCCTATTTTTTATGACTGAATCACCGATGACACAAAACGGAGTCGTTTTTTATCAATGTTTTCTGGGTAAATAAGTGCTGATTTTCTTGCCACATGTCTGTAATTACGTTTATGTCATTGAATGATGAAGCAAGTTCATTTTTGAGGTTTTTTTTTTTATCATAATACATTGGGAAGTAACAAATTTCATGTACATACTGGTAAAGCCTCTTCCAAACCAGTCATATCCATACGTTTCTTTTTCTTCTTTTTCTTTTTTCCACGAAACTCTAAATCAAGCGACATTTCTGGGAAGAGAACAAGATGACAATATAATTGCTAAAAAAAATACACAAACATTAATTTCATTTTCACTCCCGATTCATAGAAATCTGGGTTGCTGACCTGATTTGCATATGGAACGGGACTGCTGGAATTCTTTTATTGTCATAATCTTACGACAGCTGTCACTAATACAATGCAGTGCAGATCCACTAAATAGTTAGTACTAAATCACATGTCGATATTGGAACGTTTCAATTTTGTATGTTCTAAGAGAATAATCTAAGATTAAATAATAATTTAAAAATTGAATTGCGCGATGCATAAAATACATTGTTTTGCGAACACAATTTTTAATTTGTTACAGCCATAACAAAAACAAACTGACTCATCAAGCTATCTTTCCAGCTGATAATTACGAAGTTCTTACCGTCACCAGGTTTCTCTTCCTCCTCTTGATACACATCTTCTCTTATGTGAACGGTCGTAGTCTGTGTGCTATATGGTGTATTTGCAGGAGGGATATTTTCACTCTCCATTGGTGTGGTTTCCGTAGCTGGAGCCTCAGGTGTCGACTCGCCAGCTAAAGCTGCCTCCATATCAAAAGGTGTCTTCTTCTTCTTTTTCTTCTTCTTCACAGTAGGATCAAATATCTGTGGAAGAGTATAGATCATTATAAGAAACCTACTTAACATACTGAGAAATAATTTATTTTCACTGGAATTAATTTTCGCTGAAAAGACTTTTTGGGTATTTTTGGTGAGTTGAATGTAAAATCTAGGAAAAAAAGGTAAATTTGCTGGATTTTATTTTTACTGAATCACTCCTTTGGCGAAAATAGCGAAAATAAATTCCAAGTGAAAATAAATTATTTAAGCCAATTATATTTGCCTTTCATTCCACTACTTCTGACAGGGATGTGTTGAGGAGAGGGGACTTGTGGTGGTAAAATTATGATTTGTTGAGTTTCGTCATTTTCAACACATAAATTTAATTATAATGTAAATTTCAAGTGAACACTCTTTCTGCAGACTATAATTTTTATTTTAGAAGAATGAAACTTCAAAACTTTTGATTAGAATATATTGTGGAAAACTTGTAGCCAATCGTAGTGGCCATGATAATGCAATTGCCATAGGAACACACGAGTTACGTGTCGTATACTATGCTTTCGAAAAAGTTAAATTTCAGATGAAAACATGTGCTGCAGACAATTAATTCTGGTCCTTGAGCAGCAAAAGATAGAGACAGAACAAGATAAAACGCAATATTAAACATCAACAAAAATAAAACACAATAAAGGTAGAGTAATGTCGGTCGCAATCTGGAACTACAAAGCTGCAGCTTGCAATTATTTTGCCAGAAACACCTTTTTCATTGATTGTTAAAAATATACATCCCAAATGTAATACCTTACATATTTGTATACACTGTAAAACATGTCTTTTTAGCTAACATGGGTTTCTTAGCTAATCAGTAATTTCGCTAATTCAATATTCCATATTTGGAATTTGCATTTCCTAATATGATAGGATGAAAATAGCCGATAAAATACCGCAAAATTACGACACGCTGTAACTTATGGCGTTACGGTGACAGATGTATAATAATAAACTATATTCTCACAATAAGACTTCAGCTAAACTAAGATTGTATTTATTCATGCATTGAATTATATTCACTAAGATTCATGTAGCTTGTTCAACATGGTTATGTGCTGAACAACCGTCCATTCTACACAACTGTATATGGGGCGAAGGAATATTAAATGTTTTTGTGAGATTCATCCTCTCAATGTGTTTCCCATTGCCATTACAAAAGAGTTAGGATTAGGAGTGGGGGTATAAAAGGAAATCTTTCCGTTATTTCAATTTTTGAACTTGATTTCCTGTGAGATCATTATTTTTATTTTCGGCAACTCCATAGAGACTATGCAGCAACTAACAACAAATATGAACAGAACCACACGAGAAGAGAGTACATAGCGAAGTGAAAGATGCTAATGTTATTTATCAATTTGTGTAATAGTAATGAATGGAAACATATAACACAGACAATGATTTATCTGTAAAATGTTTGATTGGAAATGTCCGGAAATTTCTATAAATTACGGAAATATGGGTGTCCTCGATCGTCATTTGACTTTATCGAGAGCTGTATAGAGGCGAAACCAAAAAAGCCGTACGAAGAATGTTACATGGAATATATTACTACAACCATAGACGTATTTAACATGCTACAGCGATATGAGGTTGCTTATATCGATAGGTTTTAGATTTAGTTCCCACATTTAGTGACAAATACCTATGATCGTAGCCATATTGAAATTATTCAATGGCCGGCATTTTCAGCTGGGACTATTATAGTACGAAACATCCAGCGTGACAGAACGGATAAAATAACCTACCGCTTCGTCTTCGGCCATTGTGATAGTTTCAGTAGTGTCTCTGGGTTCCAATCGCTTGAAATAAATAATTCCTGGTTCGCTAAAGGAAGCAAATCGAGCGTTTATTGTTTACGTTTACGGACTTAGAACTCTTGCATCAGCCGAGCACACGAGGGTAGGGTGTGACGTCATGAAGGCACTTGTACGCATGTTCACACCATGTACATGCTCATTGACACGAAGTTCGTCGTACACTGGAACCCGGACTGGAACCGGGCTTAAATTTTGTAATAATTAAATAACATCAAAATATTTTTATTGTTTATAATATCGTTATTAATTTTATAATTAATCTTATCGAAACAGTAAAAAAGGGTATTTGAAATGAAAAACTATCTCCATGTGTCACTGCAAAAACAGATCTACGTGGGTCCTTTATACTGGTTTCGACTGGATTATGCTCAGAGGATTAAGGCATGACCCCCAAATCAGTAGGGACAGGGCAGGGGAGGATTAATAGACCATTAATATTTCGTCTTCGTGCCAGAGAAATTGTAAGGGTTGTATTTGCTGCTACCTTAGATACATGTAACAAGTATTTTAGAATTATTTAGAATATCACCAGAAAAGATGTGGCAAATGTCCTGTTCGATAAGGGACTCATAGCGACGTATACAACGCGTGTAAAATACATTGTTTATTTACATGAAATTTGGACACGCGCTGCGCTACGACCACCGCGCTTTAATGAAATCACTTTGATACATCATTCCCAAGCCTAATTTGTATAGCGCCACGTGCGGCCAACAACGAAACGTTTTCGTTTTTTTGGCACACTTTAGTGTTATCGGTACGTTGATGTAATGATCAAAAGCCGTCATACTTCTGAGGGTATGGTAAAGCTTTTACAACAATCCGAAGTGAATTAATCAAAGCTACTCTGAGAATGGGCTTAAAATGACTAACCCTTTCAAAGTAGTTTTCTCATAAAATGGAAATTATCACTGTTCAGAATTTTGCACAAAATGGAAGTTTCTGGTTATTTGCTGCGTGGAGGTGTTTTTTTATGCTGAAATGTCCATCAAATTTGTGCTTTTAAGTCGATTCTTCATTGAAACTATTTTTTCTGACAAAAACTTTATAAAATCAAAGAAAGCTTAGAAAGAACTCCCGTGTGCTGAGTATTGGAGACACATTAAAAATCAATTCAAAACTACTTGTACTTGAGATATTATAACTAATATGAACAGATTTGAGTGTAAAACTAATAAGGTCTGCGCAATGTAAAACTAATAAGGTCTGTAGAATGTAATATCTATGTACCAAGTTTGATTGAAATCTGATTAGAACCAAAAAATTATGAATTATTATACTAATTAGAGAATTAATATGAACAGATTTTAACCCAAAATTAATCAGGCCTGTCTATTGTTCTAGAGCATTTATGTACCAAATTTTATTCAAATGTGATGATCAGTAATTGAGATATCAGTGTTAATTAATTATGTTAATTGATGATTAATAAGCATAAATAGTTACCAAAAACTAATTAGGTCTCTGTATAGTCCTTGTTTCATTGAAATGTGATGTTTAAAAGTTTCATTAAAATCCAATGAGTGTTTTTTTATATATCAGTGGAACAGTCATGGAACAGCAAAAAATTAACTAATTATGCAAAATAGGAAATTAATATGCACAATTATTTACCCTAATACTAATCAGGTCTCAGCATAGTCCTAGAAGATCTATGTCGCAAGTCTCATTGAAATGTGATGAGTACTTGAGATATCAGGCGAAAAGCTGAAAATTAACTAATTATTGCTAATAAGGTGATTAATATGCACAAATATTTACCCAAAAGCTAAGTAACTACGTACCAAGTTTTATTGAAATGTGATGATTATTACTTGAAATATCAAAAGCTGAAAATGAATTAATTATTCAAATTATTATTCAAGTACTGCTTTTACCCTTAAAACTGTTGGGTCTGTGCAGTGTCCTGTGACATCTATGTATCAAGTTTTATTGAAATGTCATGATTAGTACTTGAGGTATCAGTGGAAAAGCCGTAAATTGATTAATCATTATGCAAATTAGATAATTAATATGCACAGATTTTTACCCAAAATAATCAAATCTGCGCATTAGTTCAGAGCATCTATGTACGAAGTTTCATCAAAAATCAATGTATGGTTCTTGAGATATCAGTGGAACAGATGGACACACTTACAGACACACTAACTGCAAAGACTCACTCCAATTGTGTGCTTGGCACAAAGGAGTCAAAAACAAAACAAAATAAAAACAGATGACCAGAAACACGAATACATGTATTTTGTTCTAGGCCTTCATATACTCCATTTAATAATATATTTTAGCTTTTTTCTCAATGAAAACTGTTCATTAGAATAACTTTTGATAACAAGTGTCAACAGCTGCTTTGACAGCACAATGATCTAGACATGGGTGAATGCGCATTTCTATCTCGTACGTACTTCTAACTTCACTAACCCCGAACAGGCTGTAAACTACCATTAATGTCAGAGTTGCAACACTTTAACAAAGTACCAGTAATACTAAGTTTTGCAGCCACATCGTGGCGTGTTACGCAACACCTGTTTACCCATAGAAGAATGGGCCAATGACCTGTTGAAATCATACCCGATTCAAATGCATATCGTAGTAAACCACCTGCTAACACAATCAGTTGAATGACCATGCACCTTGTCGATCTGAAATTCGTTGGTTTGAATCGAGGGTGCTGCTCCTCAAAACACTATCATTTTTAAATAGTAAGGGGAAATTTACTCTCCACTTGAATCATGCAAGAACTTTGTCCTTAGCAAAATGGGTATATTTTTGAACAGAAAGAGTACTTTCCTAGTAAATACTGAACGATAACAGTCTTTCAAAGTTTAGGAGACGACACTCGCTTCCAGAACAGCGACTAGCCAACAAGTATTTTTTTTTTCATAAATTTTAAATTCCATTTGTATAACTAATGTAGTTGTTATGTAAAATTAGGCTACAACTACTCCACCCACCATCAGAGATAAACAAATTTTTTTTGGTCAAGTTGAATGGCAGGGACACTGCCACTCTCTCTGTACCTCATCAAAGATAGTATTTTTCATGTATGAATTTGACAGCCAAGTTCCATTTTGCCAGTTCCAGTTCCAGGTCTTGTTCTGAGATTAATTAAACCCTCTTTGGCAATTTGATACCAAAAATTTCAACATGGGCTGTGCCAGCTCTGAGTGGAAGCACATATTGATTGAAGGCATGTCGAAACAGATCTATGTATTTTGCCAAGGTCAAATATCAGTAGTATGACATGTACGTTTGCGGGATGGGGAGAGTGTGGGCTTGTATGCATGTGAAACGTTAAGGCTATTGTATAAATCGGTAGATATTCCAAAAACTTTGTCACCCCCCCCCTCTACCAGTTAGGTAGGTTCTTCATTGAAATGCTGTTCACTAAAAACGATCCTGCAATGTAAATATGATAAGGCTTGCCAGGTTTAGAGACAAATATATGCATAAAAATTTGTCATAGTTAATTTTTGTGTGTGTCATTACGACTAATGGCTATATCACTTCATACCCACATGTTTGAACTGTGTACAACACATAATACGTGCAATGTAGGTGAAGAACTACCGGTACAATATAACGACTAAAATGCAGATTAAAGTCAATAATCTGAAACAATAGCTAAATATTCATTATTTATTGTTACCTAGCCTTACATTAACAGTTCATGTACCGGTACATATAAAAACATATACTGTACAATCAAACGAGTAACGCCCTTAATGAGTTGATTGAAATCGAAAGATACATTTCTCATCCTGGTTTTGAAACACTGTACAATTCAAATAATCTGTACATATGCATATAAAACAGCGATAGTCAAACATTGTAAAATTGTTTTTATTACAGGAGAAATGTAAGAGGGCAGGGAGAGAGTTTCCGAAAGCAACCACGAGTTGAGGTTGTTCTATAATATAAGCTTACTGGGATCTTATCCAGGTGATATCACCATAATTACAAAAAGTTAAAGTTCATTTAGCTTTGTTGAAATATAATACTTCATGTCCCTTTTATTCACTTCCTTCTGGACCTATTTTCGTTAGGATTTCGCTTTTTTCCAGAATGTGATCCAAATCTGTTGACTCCCAACTGTGCTGCTCTGCTTGTCACATCATGTGTAGCAAACGGTGATACGCTAGCTGCGTAGTTCGGATCAAATGCATTTGTCTTTTTTAAGGCTTTTCGTGAAGGTCTGTTCTTTGGGAACGGTTGATCTTCTACTAGGTGAGGGTTTGTTGCATGCTTACCACCTTGGGGCATTGGTAAGGAATACTGCAAAAAAATATAGCACAAAAATTTTAATTTATGCTACAGAACATACACGAGAAACTGAAACAACTGAAAATGTGAATATGCAAACGATTGTTAAGAAAACACCTACATTTTGTAGATACTAGCTGTTGGTAATGATCAACTAAAGCAACAGGTTTTATAGAAAAATATTTATCTTTTTTTAATTTGCATTTATTACCTACAGCCATAATTATGTCAATGAAGAAGAGTGAGTAAATATGCAAATTAGGGTAATTTATATGCAAGAATGCCTTATCACTTGATTACTTAGTAACAAATATTGACTGCATCTTGATCAGTGAAACAAAAGTTCTATTCAGATAGACAAAAAAGATTCAGTCAAATTTATCAGATAAATATTAGAAAATACCTTCAGTCCTCTCTTGTTTTCAATTTTTCTTCTCGACATGTGAAAATGCTGTTTGCCGTTGTCATCCAAGGTTACTGTGACCTTCATCAATGTTTTATTACCACAGTGTGGACAAAACTGCTTCGTCATGATTGCAGTCACTCTGAAAAAAAATATTAACATAACTAATTTTTTGTATAATACTTCGTGACATAACAGCACTTATATTAAAGTGAGAGGGTCGTCACCTGCGCACACGCGGGAATTGAGTCCCAGGCGATGATAACACGTGCCAAGAACTCAAAGGCTCATGGGTAGATACTAGTTTGTAAACAGTGACACGCTATGGGCCCCTGACACAGGTGACGACTCTCCCGCTTTAATACTTAACTATTTTGTGATATATGCCGACTTATAGCACCATAATGGAATATTGCATAGTGTGATGACTGGGATGCTGTATTAGTAGCATTATTACATGCGTCTTCTAAAGCGTCAAAAGTATACAAGCATTTGCAAACAATATATTGTGTACAGAGACAGTCGTCTGAATAAACGCAAAGTCTGACTGATTCATAAGAGCCAACAAGGTTATTTTTCATAGACTGCTCTCCACCCAAATGCCTCTCAAAATTTGATGATGCAAACAAAAGGCAAATTTCAGAGAAAATATGCGATATATACAATTCATGTAAATGTCATTGTTTTACTTAGCCTTTTTACCACCAGACTTTCTTGCTCAAATTTTTCTGCACTTTTTTTCTTACATTCTTTAATATTTCTGGAAACTCACCCTAATTTTGGAGCCAACAGTCAAAATTTGGTAAATTTTCAGTTTCTACTCAAACAATTTGGCTATTTTTGTCCCAGTCTTCTGAAGGACAGTGCAGACTATCAACAGGACTATTTTGTGAATTTGTGATGAGAACTGGTGGTAAAAATGCATTTTTGTGGCATTTTAAAATCCTACTTACTTGAAACAACCACTGCATTTTAGAACATACGTCTTAGTTCTTTTAATGAACATACCATTAAGTGAAAGCACAGGAATACCCATTTGAATAAGCACATTCTGTTGATAGAAAACAAAATCGATTAGATGTATATTTGCACTAATGACAGTACCATTACACTGTCTTGGCTGGTTTCCGCCTCAAGTGTCATGGCGTACCAAGCCACAAGAGGACGGTAACTAGAAAAAGTTCCAGAATTCTGATTGGTCCATCACTTTCTCGTTGCTTGTTCTATTTCCCTTGGTTACCTGACGTCAGCGCTTACGCTCGTGGCCATTCAGTGGTTTCCTTTTACTTTCGAAAGTTGGGCGAATAAAAAAATCGTTCTTTTATTATAAATTTGCACAGAAACAGCAAGGAATGTCAGAAGCATCTCAAATATGTAAGTCTAAGCAAGCAGAATGTATGGGCATGGATTTATCACAGTATTACAGACATGTTTATGCAGAACGGCACTTGGAATGTTTTCAAATTACGTCACTCAGTCACGTGCCTTCCGACCGGAAAACCGGCCCAGTGGAACATTATGGCGATTACTGCGTCCTAATTGCCATTCGCAAAGGACACCGGGAACCAGCGAATACACTGTCCAGATCTCAGTACTGAGGGTAGTAATAAGTCTGCTTTCCCTGTCCAGATCTCAGTACTGAGGGTAGTAATAAGTCTGCTTTCCCTGTCCAGATCTCAGTACTGAGGGTAGTAATAAGTCTGCTTTCCCTGTCCAGATCTCAGTACTGAGGGTAGTAATAAGTCTGCTTTCCCTGTCCAGATCTCAGTACTGAGGGTAGTAATAAGTCTGCTTTCCCTGTCCAGATCTCAGTACTGAGGGTAGTAATAAGTCTGCTTTCCCTGTCCAGATCTCAGTACTGAGGGTAGTAATAAGTCTGCTTTCCCTGTCCAGATCTCAGTACTGAGGGTAGTAATAAGTCTGCTTTCCCTGTCCAGATCTCAGTACTGAGGGTAGTAATAAGTCTGCTTTCCCTGTCCAGATCTCAGTACTGAGGGTAGTAATAAAGTCTGCTTTCCCTGTCCAGATCTCAGCACTGCATT